CTCATCCTAAGCTGCTCTTTTTGCTTTGCTTTGCTGAGGATAGGCACTGTGGCATTACTGGATGTATTTGCCTGTCCTATTTTGCTATCTCTCACATGAATATGAGCTTGAATGTCAATGTGTGAATGTGTTTTGTTGTTGTTGTTGTTGTTGTTGTCATGTATGAGCCATCCCTCAGCTTTTGTGCTTTTCAATATTTCATACCAGGAGGATATTTCAGGTAATTATCTGTCAGTTACATCCATCTCTGGAATTCATCCTCATCTACTATTTTTATTCCTGTTCATCAATACTCATATTTCTATTTGTCATGATTGTAAAATGATCATCAGCGGTACCATATGAGTGTGGACACAACACACACCAAAAATCAAAAAGACAACTAATTCATAAAAGGTTGTACATTTTGTTTTGTACATTTGTATTTAATACACAAACAACCTCAAATGAAAATGTGTATGATATAAGTTTGTCTTTGCATAGAGCTGTGATCAAAACTGTACTATCACATGTCAAACACACACACACACACACACACACACACACACACACACACACTTAACACCACTTTAAAGATGAAGATGACACTGTAATGGATGCTGAGCAGAGCTTTAATGAAAAAGAACAAAGCTAAAAAAAGAAAAAAACTTCACAAATATATGGAATTTCATTAAAGAACAAAACAACCCAAGCAGTGGGCAGCTCTAGTTTCCATTTGGTGTTTTAGTAGGACTAAGTTAAAACAAACTGCAGTGTGTGTTCATGAGAAATGCACTGATGTGGAGTTTTAAGACAACAATGGAGCTCTGTAGCTCAGAGGAAATGAAATATGAAACACAGCACTAACTAGTTGGTTACATTCATCATTGGCTCTGATGTTTTATTGGGATGTTTGACAATAAGAAAAATATCACTTTTTTGGCTTTGATAGGTTATGAAGTTAAATGGACAGAAGAGATAAAAAGACACACAAGACAAGAAGAAAAAGAAATAAATGCACTTTTATGAAGCAGAAGATATCATTTGAGCTGTTGCTCCAATTTCCAGGTTCTTAGAGCTGTTGCTGTTCATACCCCCGACGCCTGCCACCTCTCCGACGTCTGCCACCTCTCCTGCGCTTGCTGCTCTTTCTACGCTTGCCACCTCTTTTACGTTTGCCACCTCTTCTACGTTTGCCACCTCGTCTTCTACCTTTGCGACCTCTGCGACGCTTACCTCGCTTTCTCCCTTTGCGTCCTCTCCTTTGCTTGCGCGATTTTCTAACCTTGCCACCTTTTCTTCGTTTTCTCCCTCTTCTACGTTTGCAGCCTCGTCGACGACGGCCTTTGCACTTCCTCAGTCGTTTGTCTTTCCCCCTTCGTCTTTTTCTGCTCACCCCAATGCCAGTGCCTACAGCAGTCCCTATTCCAGCGCCTGCTCCGATGCCTAGCCCAGTGCTTACCCCAG